ACTCCTTGTCCGTGTCGAACCGTCGACCGAATAATTGCTCCTTCAATTTCGGAAACTCTATATCAGGGCTTTAAGGAAGATGAGAAATCACTACCCTGCCACTCTTATGCCTTGCAGAGTTTTTTCCTATGACGATTTTGGATTGTCCGTCTCAGGTTTTTCAGCTGCCTGTTCGCCATGCCTTCCTCGTAGATGGACGGCCTCCCGCTTCGTTGTTGATTGTGAATTTCCATGTGGTCATTAATTAACTCTCTGGAGATGAATTTCTATGGGTGGTAAAAAAAAGTCTATGAGTGGGTACCAAGAGAGCGTCGCAAATTACTTACAATAGTTTGTGAGATTGTTGCTAAATGTTATTAAAGGTTAAGTTGAGGGAAACATTTAGTAACCTGTTGACAGCTGGATACATGGTACATTCTTTAAGATTAGTATAAAATACACACAGCTGTATATCAGGATCACATCAAGATGGAATAAAAATATTTGGAACGAAAGTTAAAATTATTACATGTTACATCGTGAATAAAACCTGATGCTGCACAAAATGATGCGGCGCAGGATCATGTCAAATGTTTCATCCTACTTATGATCCTTTGCCACACCATTTTGTGCAGCATCAGGTTGTTTCACGATGTAACATGTAATAATTTTAACTTTCGCTCCAAATATTTTTAAGCCGTTTTGATGTGTTCCTGGCATACAGCTGTGTGTATTGTATATTAATTTTAACGACTGTACCATGTATCCAGCTTTCGACAGGTTAGTAAATGTTTACCTCAACGTAACCTTTAATAATATTTAGCAACGATCTCACATACCACTGTAAGTAATTTAAAATCATTTTGCATAGTAGTTGCTACTTCTTCTTAATGTTATTGCAGCTCCTGATGATGTTGGCAAAGTCCATTGAAAAATAGAGACTAATGAAGTATAAAGAGTCCTCTTTGCTTGAATTTTGTCGAAGTACCCAACTAAAGGCGGTAGCTTTATTTTTCACCTAACTGGTCTAGACGACAATGAGTACGTCTCAAGTTATATATATATATATATATATAACGTTTTTGCGTGCAAGAATCGGATGACCCCACGAATTTCGCGCGGTGATGGCAATGAAGGAATCCATTGCTTATAGCTGTCAGGCCGGTATTGAGCATCGCCAATAGGTGCTTCTTGTTGGGATCGACGAACACGACGGCGTTGCCAGACTGCGCCCAGCATCACGCGCGTCAAAGTAACTGCACCGGGAACCATATTTCTGAAACAACAAGCGTACCTATTTCGTTTTTTGAATACCCTGTACAAATAGAGGATGCTATATACACTTTTTTATGTAGACAGTTGAGCGGCTTATTTTTAGTGTTCCGTCCCAAATCCTGTTAAGAAACTTATACTCGAATCTAAGTTGTGGCGGTCACGTGCCATTCCCTTCTTATATTCATTTTACTCTATTTATTTATTCTGGCGAAATAATAAGTTTTCCGTCTTTTATTTAACACCTCGCATGCTATAAAAATGTCAAATCATGTTCTCTTTACCCCACTGTTAGTATCGTGTTCTTTTGTTCGAGAGGTTCGCAGAAACAAAAGTGTGTACATTATCAAGGACGTAACCTGGAAACTAACGCCTAAGGAGTTCATTGGCTAGTGTCCGATAGTAGTGTTCGCAATCAAGCTACCCGCTAGGCCCACCTTATTCTCCAGGAAGTCGTTTTGGAAGCCCCGTCTTCAGCCACAGGACATCCAAGCTCGCCCAAGTCAACCAGGGTAATAGGAACCTGCGCCTTGACCGGTTGTCATTTTCTTTGTTTATTTATAAATTTATTCCTTGCCGCTCGGCACCCCCTCTTTAAAAGGTTTTTCTTGAATCGAGTTGCCTTTCCTAAATATCTATTTTTCGCCAATTGAGGCTCTAACTTCTCATTTGACGAACGCGTGCCTAGCGTACATTTTCCTTTGAAAAATGCTTCCCAAAAATCATACGACAGTCGACAACGATAGTGGTCGGTGCGACATCTCCGCGCATAGCGCAAAACGTCCAGAAGTTGGGGTCCAGAAGTTGGGAGCCAGAAGTCGTAGGGGTATCTCTCTATCGTCTTCAGCGTATGGGATGAGGATGAAAATCAATTTGGTGAACCATTGGTACCTACTTACCGTCAATCGTCAGATTCTCACCTACTTGAGCACGGAAAATGTGTCAATATTATGCCAGGGAGTTGTGCAATATCATGTACGTATCTAGATAATTTAAGAAGGTTATCGCTGTTAATTAAATGTTAAATAAGTTTCAATTCCTCTATAGTCTACTTGATAGTAAACCAGAGACTAAGCTCACCAATTATTGATACATCTACTGCGCCTGCATATATCAAATCCAAGAGAAGTTTGTGTGTTATGTACCGCGGTTATAATATGGTTTAAGATGACACACGCGTTAATGACGTCAGTTACTCGAATCGCTTGAACGCGTTGGTTTTAACCGCGGTTTCGTTGCAAGTTGTTTATTTTAGAAAAGCGCGTATATAATTTCTATTATCACTTAATAACCGGTGCTTTTTTGTCTGCAACAGTGTATGGAAAGTCTAAAAAAGAAACCGTTCATAATATTAATGGGAGAAATGTTTTTTTTTTCAAAAAAAAACTTTCAATTCTCTAAAATTTTCCGCATGTCAAAGAAAATATTTATTGATTAAGCAGAAATGTTAGGAAAAAGCGATGAAAAAAGATATTAGCAAAACCCTATATAGACGGACATTATCCAGTGAGTTTTTATGCCATAGGAACTAGATTTAAAGTGTCCTCAACAACAGTAATGAGTGTAACTAATACGGTGCTCCACTTTATGCTACAACTGAAGTCAGCCTGTATCAAGTTTCCCAAAAATGAAGCTGAAGTACAACAAAAATATCAAATACCCGGCAAAATTCTAACTTGTCACATTCCAAATAATAACCAGAAATATAAAACTACTCCTGAGTTGAGTAAATACAACAATTTTGTGGTGATAACTATGACACATAACAGCTGATTCATGACGTCACGGATCTTATAACCAAACTGATAACCACACTCGCATGAACGGATCGGTAAATACCAATCCAAAATGGTAAATACCATTTTCGTTTGGTTGTACGCTTGAATTTGATTGGATATATTTTCTCGCAATTAAATGTCAAAAACTAACATCTGGGAACTGTCTAAAGATATTGTATCAATTAACACCGACCGATTGGGATGGGCTAAGAATTATCGGTTTTTCCGCAGTATTTTCTGAAAATGTACAGCGTTATTACATATAAACAAACAAGGAACTAACAGCCATCGCTTCATGAGAAGCTTGAACAGACAATCGATTTAAAATTTTGTCTGTAAAATGTGAGGACCGCACTTTATGAACAGATATCAACTGAATGAGTACCCTCCCCTCTTAAGTAATTACAAAAAAGTTGTTTCACTCCGACCATTTTTTTAATTTTTAGGATTATCCTAAACAAAAATTTGCTTAGTAACTCCTGTCTAAAGTTTTTCGTTTTCAATGCCTATAAAACACTGAATATGACGATTTTCAGTGATTATTAACTCCGAAATGTCTTCAAAGATTAATTCATTTTAAAGCGATTTTTAGGCTAGTTGGTTGGACCAATATTGGCAGACTGAATATACCATGTTGATTAAATTGAAGCCGGAACCAATGCTTTGTTTATAGCAACTCTCTCCTTTTTTTGATAGTGAACAGTATTTCGTTTTCATTGTTGAGTATTTGCAGTACTATCGAGTTCCTGTTAGCCTTCCAGGATCCTACATTTCAGAAGAATTTAGCTTGCTCAATTGGGGATAAGTCGGGAGATCTTGGTGGCCATGGTAACAATGTGACATCATTATGTTGAAAAAAGTCTATTGTGACTCTTGCAACATGTGGTCGGGCATTATCTTGTTGGAAAGTTGGATCTGCCAGGGTGTCAAGATATGGTAAAAGACGGGGTTCTAGAACTTCGTGGATATAACGCTGCGCGTTCATGTTACCTCTGATGAAGATTAAAGGTGACCTGGAACCATAAGCTGTAGCACCCCAAACCATAACTCCAACAGTGTGATGAACATGTCTTTCAACAAAAAACTGTGGATTCCTCCTTTCACCACGTCGCCTTCTAACCCTGGCACGACCATCGTGCATGCCTAAACAAAATCGAGACTCGTCACTAAAGACAATACTGTTCCATTCCTGATCGCAGAGTGACCGTTGTCTGCACCACTCAAGGCGATTACGTCGGTGTTCTCGAGTTAAAGGGAGGACCCAGTGTGGCCGGTATGAAAACAAGCCAAAACGTCTCATTCGTCGGTAAACACTTCGCATGCCTATAGGTCTTCCGTGTTCTGCAAACTATTCAATTGCAATGGACCTGGTAGTGGAGAAACGGTCCCTTAAGGCCAATAATCTCAGGCGGCGATCTTCACGGTCTGTTGTTCTACGGAGGCGTCCAGTGCCCCTTGCGCTTTGCGTACGGCCTTCTCGAAGCCATGCCTGACAACACCTAACCACAGTGTCTACACTTCTTTGCACTCTAACTGCAATTGCCCGAAAAGAAAGTCCAGCTTCCCGAAGTCCCACTATACGGCCCCTATCAAACTCACTAAGTTGACGAAATCGTACAGGTCTCCGTACTCTAGGCATCGTAACCGATCGTAAAGGATGTCAAGAACCAAAATCCGCCAAGGTTGATTCTTTACTGCGGCTGAAATATTCATTTTAGAGCGTTAGTGAATTAAAAAAAAGCAGTATAAAAACCGGAATGTCCAACTGATAAGGCTGAAAATTGTTTCATTTGTTATTTACAGTAAGTTAAATACATTCACCAACTTTTATTAAAATAAAACCATTTAAACTGGGTCTTCGGATTTATATGTCACTTAGTATAATTTAAAAAAATAATAAGACAGGTAATGGTATATGTATAGGCACAAATGCGAGGTAAAAACGCTTGTTATAAGAATAACATAAGTCTAAGTAAAAAAATCGTCGAATAGCCGAAACATTGGAATAATAAAGAATGCAGGAACATCAAATTAAATTGTTTAAAATCAAATACATCAGAAAAGATTGAAACAATCAGTATATCATTTCATAAGTCGAAATGTTACGATTAATAATAAAACCAAGTAATGATAACAACACTGGCCTAAATGGTTGTATTACATTTCTATAATTACACATATTGATAGCCGACAGTCTGATGCTTACGATTATTTGCTACAATAAAAGCCTAAAATCCAAACTAATGTACTTTAATGATGCTGTTAACTCGGAATTGTATCAAACTGCACGTGATACTATTTACGTCTGCCCTACAGTAATAGGGATTCTATCAATGAAGTCCTTAATTTTATCCCTACAAGATCGTAATGATCAAGTCTTGAGCCTTACAGGCAGACTGCTGTATAGTGATGTTGCCATGCCAGAGAAGATTTCTTTTTTAAATTTGGTTCTGTGTGGTGGAACCAACTTAGAGCAAATGCAAGTTGTGATATTGATAGCTGATTGTATAGGTAGATCGGTGTCTCAATTGTAAGAATGGTTTGTAGATATGAAAGGAGGTGTACTACCCATCTTGGTTGCATGGTCAACCATTTCTTTTTTTTGAGATGTTTGGCGATTCCTTCTCTCAGGGGTATTCCAGATATGAAGTGGACATAGCTGTTTTGAAACTTTTGCAGTCGTTAGGCCTCCTGATGAGTTACACAATGACATTAAGCGCTATCAACTATTTGTGACCTTAGTTATGGTGTTTTTAGAGGAGACGTTTCCAAAGCTCTAAATAGCCTATAACTTTGCATATGTACCCTGGACAGCTGAGGAGCCATGGTCATGGAAAATCGAGTATGCCAGTCACCTCTGAACCCAGCTCCTAGCTTGTCTAAAAAAAATTTAAGTCAAATTAAACCTTCCTGTATACGCTCTTCATATGAGAGCTTTGCTGACACCAAGTTATGAGATATAGTAGGTTCTTGATTTGCTTGTTGTTATAACAAAACATATGATAAACAAATTAAGACTGTCAGTCTTCAGATTAGTAATTTCATTTCCTACACATGTTACTCTTCTTTCTGTGTTTACTGGTGGCAAACGCATAAGCTAAAAATAAAATCTCGCAACATTACGAAACCCTGTGACCATTAGTCAGTAAGGAGTACCCCAATTCTTCTTTCCATTATACCCGATTTTCACGCCCACATATCCACTAACAAAAAACAAACCCTCACCCACGGCGAAATTCTTCCGAAATAACAAATGTAATATATATGGCATACACAGCGAACAAAGCATGAGCTAACTTAATTACGTTGTGACAAAAGAATCACTCCGTTTACATTGTTAAAGGCAACAAAAACTCCAAAAAGGCTCTTGAAAGAGTGTTGTCTTACACACGACGCCATTTCGTTGATTATGGGATGTAATAATAAGTCCGACACACACACACACACACACACAAAGAAGTTTACGTTGTTGATAATAGGCATTACAGCATGGAACCTTCAGAGCTTTTGTAAGCACAATAGTGGTGCGGTTGATCAAAATTAGGGCCACACTACGTCAAAAGTTTTATGTCTGCTCTAATTGTTGAGCTAGCAACCTTTTTTTAGATATAGTCAGAAGATTATAGCAGCCGCAACGTTTACTGCTGCTAAGTTTTCGACCGTATGGTTTTGGAATCGGAAATGTACTTAGTGACATTAGAAGTGTTACATCCAGAAAAAATAATTTCTTGTAAATCAGATTTACAAATAGGTCCCCAAATCCTCCGATGAAGCGCTGGTCAAAATGTCAGAATGTTTATTCAAAGTAAAGACCAACGCCTCGTTTTACCTTTATTTGGAATTTGGTCCCTAAGTAATTGTTAGGTCTAAAATAGCGTATAAACTCAACTATAAAGTTAAAAATGCATGCTATTTCGACCTACATCGTGGAAATTAAATTCTGAAACCGGCCATATTTGAAATATTCTCTTTTTAATATTAAGACATGAACATTCACTAATTGCTTTCATATTTTGTTACTTTAAGATAAGTCACCAGAACACACATTATTTCTAAGACCTGTGAATTTTGGGTAACTATTATGTCCACATTTGACGAAAGAACTCCCTGCTCATAGATTTTTCGTTCATTAGTATCCGAAAATTATTATTATTATTATTATTATTATTAGTAGCCGAAAATCTAATTTCGAAATTATCCTCATAAACTGCCACGCAAAATTAACCGGACAAACAAAATTTTGTTCAAATTAAATTTTAAATAACTTTTTAATCTTTTCCTCAACTCCGTTAAATTTTTACGTGTCGTGATTAACGACTGTCGATATTACAAAAAAAATTAAAATGTTTGTTGTTATACAGGGTGTAACTAAATGGTGCCTTTTGTCATTGGATTACTAAATAATGTGTCTTCGTATGAATATTTTGAGCCTCAACTTTTCTCAACAGCTATTTTTTTGATTTATGTCAATATCTCAATTGTTGAAGAATGTATGCTGTTTTGAAAAAAATCGTGCGAATCATATCCACCGGAACAAGTTGCGCAGGCTGTATCTTTACATGATGATGGTCATCCTATTCCACGCAGTACTGAGGCTTTCTGAATTGCCATTGTAATATTACCGTGTACACAGAGTATAAAACTTAAGCCAGAGTTGTGTCAATACGATACAAGAAAGTCATTCTTTTCTCTGCCGTTTTGTACATCTAAAAGATAGTCAAATAGCGCTTTTCTAGTTACTATCTCGACGACTAACGTAGAGACAATGTAGTGTATCTGAAATGTATCTAACACATGTGCTTTGCGGTTTGGGACGTTATCAATCCAAAACGATCACGAATCATAACAGTAAAGCTTTTATTCAGCCAGTCGACAGTAAATTTTTATAACCACAGCGGTAAAACTACATCTCTCGCACATGGTATGTTTCCAAAATAATAAAAATACACGCGTCAGCTCCACACAATCAATGAAAAATGAAATCCTATAGAGACATGAAATATACGTGGAATAACTTGAGACTCCCGATTGTGCTCATTTTAAAGCCGTGTAGATCCAGCTATAGATGGAGAAACGGTAAACATGTGTAGCATGAGTTGCTGCACTTTGACTGTTGTAATTTTTTTCGCTTACAAGATCTTTTATCTGCCAAACCACTATATGACTAAAGTTACACGTAAAACCTCTAATTCTGCAGAAACAGTTCATGGTATAATTAACCTAAGGGTGGAGTGGACCACGACCTATTCAATGGTCTCGCAATGTTTTTGGCAAAACCGCATAGCTAACTATCTAAAAAGGGTAGATGTAAAAATAAGAATTGCATCTGGTGAAGCTTCGATCGCTAGTCAAATCACCAACCCATAAAAGTGAAAATATCCCCAAACTGCTAGATACTGGGTGACATTAAAATAGCCAATTCTCAAGTCATTCATTTTAGTAGCTATTTGAAGCTGTTAGATCGCTACTTTAGCGAAAAATCGCCACCCCTGGCCTGGGCCACTTGTTTGCAACAATTTCATGGAATTTCCAAGTGAATCAACTGCGAAATATTTAGTTCAAACTTGCGAACATGAACTTTTTCTCATAGTACAACATCCTGCTCAAACAATCACCGAACTGAGACCAAAGCTTTTTTGCCAAAAATTGGTTAACACTATGCCCCAAAGAATTTCAGCCGTAATAAAAAATAAAGGTGATGTTACCCAATGGTAATCTTTCAATTGTTGCTTTTTTAACTTCGCGCATTTATTCGCACATTGTTTATTTGTTCAGATGTTCTATTAGTTATAGATCTAAATGATTTCAAGTATGTATTTTTTACGACTAGAGTGTGTCTAAAATGTTTTTGAGAAAATAAATTGTTTTAGAAGTAAATAGTTTCGTCATGTTTAGTTTATAAAGGCATATTTTGGTAGAAATCTTTAAGTGGGCCAACTGAAGTGGGAAGGGGCTCGTATATCTGTTCATTTTATATGATTCTTGAATGACTGTATGCCAAGAAACATTCCTTGTTAAAATAACAGTCCTCTGGGCACAATCCCCTGACAATTTTTTGAACAGGGAACTGTTTCCTGCTGCAGGGTAGAGTTTCTTTCAGGCAATTTCAAGCTTATTTAGCCAGGCGATACTGCGGTGATTAGTAATTTGCAAAATATTGAATTTCTTTCAGTTAATTCTCGATTCCAGCCAAAAGAGAGCCACCCAAAAACAGGGTAAAATCTTAGAATAAAAACGTATGGCCGAACGTTTAAGATACGAACGACTTTTGTAGACACAGTACAAGCAAAATATGAAGACCAGGGAAAACTCAGAGTCGTAGAAGTCGCAGATGAATTTGGTCCAGCAGTTGACTTAGATACCAGCTCTGTTTTAGAAAAGTAGTAAAGTTTTCCGTCAAAAAAGCAGAACACCGACATGCTGCAATGATAAATCAAATTGATTAAAAGGAAGATGAGGTGACTTGGACCATATGTTGGAAAAGTTACCAAACCCAGATCTAACTCCAAAAAGGAAAGGATTGTTTTATTACTTTCCAGTAACTGTACCAGTATTTTAAAAATAGATTGATATTTACCTAGAGTGCAATAGTAGATTTGCTGTAAGCTGTAAGAGTCACTATAAAATTTACTAGTTAGGTTAAATAAAGCTTCTTAGCTCCGAAGCTGTATCGTTTTGAGAAAATAAATTTTAGACATTGTTTTTTCCTAAATATCCAAACTTTATTTTAGTGTAGTTAAAATAAATAGAAACAAGGGGTTCGATTGCTTACATTAGATTAAAACATGTTGTTTTATCCCTCATAAACGTTCCTCGTCATTTTTTATAACTTCGTTCATAATTCGAAAACAAATAGCATTGTGTGTGGGCTTTTGAACCGGCATATTACTTTAGTTAGTATCACTTGATTTATCAATATATTTTCTTAATTTATAAGAATAATATGGTAGGGGCAGTTTTGTATGGGCAACTTTCCAGTTAGTAGAGAAACACCCTAATAATTAATATCAACGGTCAAAAATGCAATATCGCCTCTAGGGTTTGCCAGTGTCAGCTCTTCTCCACGTTTTGACTTCCGACGCTCAGTAAAAGAAGCTTTTGGAATGTAACAAGGCTATGTCAATTTAAGCAAACGAAACAATATAGTTTAAGGAATCTGCGTTTAATACTGGTGGTATACATGTTTATCTGAGAACTCTACGTCCCCAATGCCTTTGTAGTGTTCAAATACGTCAATTGTGTTACTGCCGCTCATTAAGACAGTTGCAGGCAGATAAAGCGTTTGTACTGGCCCCATATGAGCGTATCTCCCAATAACAAACCCATTTACTATCACAATTCCTTTAACCCACTTTTCCATATGCACAAATGTATCCTGTGGTGTACCGTCAATCTGCAGGTATCCCCTGTATAAGATTGGACCTGGACTTCCTGTATTCTTCAAGTGCCAATTTCTAAGACGTCTTGTCCATTCTCCTTTGAACTCCAGTGGGTATATTCCCCAATTGTACAGGTATTTTTTATTAAGCTTGACTTGACCCTGCCATAGTCCTTTCAGTTGCTTGTAGGTCCCTACATTGACTCTGCCCCAATTCTCTACCACTATATCAATCGTAGCATTTATTACCTCTTTCCCAGATAATGTGATGTACGAATTTAGTATGTTGGAGGTTCCAAACTTATTCAGATCAGCTGATTTCTCAAGCCACGGTGAGACTAGAACACCATCCACCAATACCATAGCTGTATCGCAGATTCTTCCTTCAATCAACAGAGAACCATTTGCAGGTATGTTCACATTTGTCTTACGATAAACAATGTATCCATAACTCTGTCCGCTATTGCCATTTATGTCCAAGAACTCCATTGGTACCACATTTTTTGACGAGATGGGTTTGACGGTTTTTAGAAGATCGTCCAAATACAATTGTTGAGTCATTTTGACATTAGGGTAAATGATTTTCTCTGGATTTGCAGGCACAGGAGGTAGTTTCGTCTTGATGGGGTTGTACTTTTCGAGAAGCTCCTTTGTTATCCAATATTTCTCAGTCACATCTCCTGATTCACTTATTGGTGACAGATAGTCGTAGCTTGAGGTGACAGAATGGTAATCTGAAATGTGGAAGAACAAATAGATATTCGTTACACCTTATACAGGGTGGCGCATCAAAAACAAAACAGCCGCATTTACTGTCAGCTCAGTTTTTTTTTTGGAAAAACGCTCAGACCAGTCGATTTTCGAGGGGGACACAAGTTTGGCAAAAATCACGTTAACACGTGCAGCCCCTTGGCGGGGGTGACACCAACCCTAAAATCTTAAATGAAGAGAAGGGGTCGAGTGATACCTTATTTTAAAGGTCTTTCAATTCCCTTTATAATGATGTAAAATAAATGAGCTTCACTTCAGTGGTTTTGAAGATTTATTGATTTAAAGCTTAAAGTAGACTTTAATAGGTACATCAGATTAGTCTGCACTACTTTCAGAAGAAATTTGACTAAAAGAATTTACTTAATCAGTAAATGCTTTTCTTCACTACGCCCATGGTTTTGTTAATCATTTTGTTGTTGAAAATAGCTATCGGAGCGTTTTTTTGTGGCAAAAGGGTTATTTCTTGAAGAAAGATGAGGAAATATCTCGTACTTACTTTAATTAGGAATTTAGTACATAGTTTGCCATTGATCTGACCAACCTTTGTTGCTAAAATAAGTTGTAACGCTTTATTACATAAATTAACCATGGTATATTCCACAGCAGAAAGAGTTGAAGTTATCGAAATATTTTTCGGAAATAATCAGTGCGCTAATAGAACAGCAGAAATATTTAATGAGCGACATGAGAACAGTAACGTGCATTGAAAATATGTTCCAGAACTTGTAGCTAAAATTTGGGAAACTGGGTCAGTGGCCAATAAAAAACGCAACATTTAAAATCCCATAAGGAACGAAGCAATAGAAGTGGGGGTTTTAGGGCAAGTTTATGTAGATCCTACGTTAAGTACCCGCAAATTGGAGACTGTGTGTCATAAAATTCGCCTGGTACAAGAACTTAAGGAAGACGATTTTGATCGGCGATTACAATTTTGTGAAGATATGAGTGAACGAATTATAAACGATGAACATTTTCTATTCAGCACTTGCTTTTCCGACGAATGTTCCTTTTTCTTAAATGGCGTAGTAAATTGTCATAACTGCCGATATTGGTCCGATTCTAATCCCAGAATGTATTTGAAATTACTGGAAGACAACATAGATCCTGCATTAACAGCCATAATTGAAAATCATAATGATCGGCGGTACATTGCGAATAGGTTGATGTTCCAATAGAATCCACCACATTACGCATTACGTGTTTGACAATATTTAGATCAGACGTTTACAGATCGATGGATTGGTAGAAGAGGTGCCATTGAATGGCCCCCAAGATCGCCAGATTTATCACTTTTGGATTTCTATATGCAAGCAAAATCTTTATTATTGCATGGAGAGTCATGGTGGCCATTTTCAACATTTACTTGCCTAACGGGTCAGTTCATTCTTCATTTTTAAATTACTTTGCTGCCAAATGTATTGATCTCCACTAATGATGATGTATTGGTTTTATTTAAGCTTTAAATCAATAAATCTTCAAAATTACTGAACTTAAGTACATTAATTTTATATCATTATAAAGGGAATTGAAAGGCCTTTAAAATAAGGTATCACTCGACCCCCTTTTCCTCTTAAGATTTTGGGGGTGGTGTCACCCCCGCTTAGGGGGCTGCACGTGCTAATGTGATTTTTTGCCAAACTTGTGTCCCCCTCGAAAATAAAATCGACGGGTCTGAGCGTTTTTGAAAAAAAAAACTGAGCTGCCAGTAAATGCGTCTGTTTCGTTTTCGATGCGCCACCCTGTATTTATAACCAATCATAATATTAGAACAAACATTTAATTGACGTTATGTTATGTATTAGGGATCTGGGTAGTCTCAATTACGAATACAGCATTAGAATAAATAAGTAAATATGGGGTCATTTGCATCATTCTGCATTGTCGAAGGCAGAATGTGGATCGGCGCTGAATTTTTGAGAACATGAGTGCCCATCCTGAGCTAAGTTTAAGATAATTATGTCCAAGAATGTCGATATCTCAGTACAAGGTATCTTTTTACTCCTTTGACATCATTGTCGCATTAATATACAGGGTGTGCGCAAAGTTGGGGTTTTCCTTTTCAGACACAACTATGCCGATATAACAAAGGTAATGTGTGGTGAAACGGGAGCGGACAAGTAAAAAAATAAATGAAAAAGTACGGCTCTGTCGTAAAATCCGTATTTACATCCTAGTCGTACATCGTACGCTGGAGCTGTGGACGTGATTGAGGGATAGGACAGGACCGGCTTCGCCTTGATTCTGATTTGATTGAGTCTGTGGAGCCCAATATCTCGGTTCTCTTAAGACATTCGTGTATATGCTATTATGAAAATCCACTGAATACCTATATACCTATTCTCAACCTACTATTTTTTGGTACTTTTAAGGTTACTGCAAAGCCAAGGACGAAAACACTTTGAAAGCCTCGGGAATCGGTTATGGTTTGATAAGCAGAAAAATTAAAATCTTTCAAATTTTGGCCTTAGATAATTCCGACGTCCCTGCATTTAAATTTTTTGTATATTGCCAGGTGTTGGGTAGTACCGAGTTACTCCTAATAACAGAAATGAAGCATTGTTTAGAAATATTTTGAGTGTGAAGATCGCACTGTTGTTGAATGAGTGGGGAATTGAAGCTAATCATACATGCCTATTTGGCTAACTTGATCCATTCAGTTGCTCTATCGTAAATAAGCTTATTCTAAGAGGACTAGCTTATGCCGAACTTTTTTTGTCTTTGATTTGTTGACAGCATAGCGTGGAAGATGTCATATTCGGTATCAACCTACCAGTATTCCAATCATCATATTTGAAATTCTGTGCTCCATTCAGAAAACCAAAGTTGGTTCCACCAACAAACATGTAGACATTGACTGATGCTGGGTGCTTCAGGATGTGTTCGTAGTTGTATCTGGAAAAATGGACGATTAGTGAGACAGACGTCTTTCTGGGCAGAAGAAGAGTTTTTCAGGTTAGACACTACGCCATGTTCACAGAGCACTAGATTTTCGAGAGCCACACCATCCTTCGTGACAGGATTGACTCCGTGTGAATAACCATAGCATTGGCATTAGATGAACATTCGCGATGAAATACATTTTGAAATCGGCCAAGCCTCGTAGTGTCGTGTCACGTAGGGTCCATTTTGGTACTGATAACTCCTAGCAAGGATGAAACGGTGCCGTAAACTGTTGGTCGTAGTACTCACCTGTACAGACTAGCACCCTTTTCAGTGTGATTGTCTCCCCAGAAGTCCATCCACCCTCCCCAGTATTCCATCACCATGATTGGTCTATTCGGTCGGTTGTTTTTCTGTATCATGATCAAGTTGCCTTCTATGTGATCATCGAAGTTTCCTGTCATAAGGAATAGGTCCGGTAAGGATCCATAGGTCCCATATCTTGGATTGTCGGATGTAACTAGTAATTCCTTAATTCCTGAAAAAAAAAAATAAAGGCCTTTTTTCAGGCTGAATACGACTGGTTTGCTTTTCAGTCTCTGAGATTGACTAACCGCATAAAACGGTGATTCACAGTTCAGCAATTATGAGTTAGATAAGACAGACAACCTAAACCAGACAAGCAGACGTGAGTCTATTGAAAAACTTGATGAACTCAACCCCTAATGCAGGACGAAGCTTGAAATTGGGACTCGTTTGATTCTTTTTGGGGAGTACTCTGGTCCTGGGGCCTAATGATCAAATTAGTCGTCTTAATTATTATGTGAAAAAAATGCATATACAGGGTGTTAATAGCGTATGTAGACAAACTTTAACCATGGAATATTTGGTCAATTTGGAGCCGGAATTTCCATATGCAACGGCATTGTTTTCAAGCTAGAGCATATTAGCACTAAAAGAAAAGACGATATTGTTCAAAAAAATATTAAAGAATGGAACGCATTTTATTTTTATTAAGTATGCCCTGTGGTGAATATCACATAATTTATAATTTTTTTCAGACCCATATCTACGTACATGGAGTACGTAGATATGGATAATGTTATCCAGTATTTTTTGAAAAAATGGCATAACATTGATTTGTTTTGATAGCAATACTTTTAATATTTAAGCATTGTCCTTATCTAGACACCAGTGACGTACCCGAAAACAATTTAATTTACTTATTTTCTCAAATAATTCGACAGCAGTCAAATATTTGATTTCTTGTCTGATCCTTCTAATACTCCAAGTATTTCTAAGTTTTGGTGATCACTAATTGTCATAATTGTCCAGTTCAGTAATCATGAAATGACAGATATGCACTTCGTTTACGGAATGGCTCAACCAGCACAACGTTTTTTCTTGTATGATAATCAAGAATGGTGTGAAGAAAATCCCCATGCCATAATTGAACATAATACGCAACACGACTTTTCCTTCAATATTTGGATTGGAGTCGTTAGTGGCCACTTGATTGGCCCTCATTTCCTTCGTCCCAGACTTAGCGGTGAAGAGCACCGAAGATTTTTGGAATTTGACGTACTTGGATTACTGGATCCCTCTTAGAGAACGACGAATGTTCGTGTTCAAAACTGTCGACCTTGAAGTGGATCCAAGCTTACACAATATCACTCAGGGTTTTTTTTCGTGGGTTTCAGTAATAACGACGGCGATATGGCTAACAAACTTTAATGGTGGTAAGGCACAAAATAATTCACTAACTTAAAAAAAACATAGAACCGGATAATACTTAAATCCGGAAGATGGTCACGTCACCTGTTGCCTCTCTCGGCGGCGAAGGGCAACTGCCCCCACGCTCGATCTACCACAATTTCGTCCACTGTTGCCGAGTTGCCGCGCACCTCACTGAACCACTACAACCTTCTAAGTAATTTTTTTCCAAAAATACAGGATAATACTATTTTCCTCCACGTTCATATTGAGCCTCAGTAACTTGTAAAACACGCAAAACTTATGATAGGTTACACCAACTGATCAATAAATACGTTTTATTATTCATAGGAATATTTGGAACATGATTCGTATTTCTTTAGTGATAGCACTCTAAGTCAAAAACAAAGCCGTTATGGACCAATGTTCATTTGAACATTTAGTCTTCAAATTGACCAAGGATTTGATGGTTAAAGTTTGTGTACATACTTTGTTAACTCCCTGTATAATAACCATATTATGTCTTATGTGATAAAGTTCGCAGTATTGTGTTTTTTTTTTCGAGATATGGACAAGAAACTTAGAAATATGATAGTGAATGGATCAGCGCAGGTTTTTGGACACCCCAAAAAAGGGCAGTTGGATTGGCCCTTCTCCATCAGATTTCCAAGTAAGTGATCATAGTACTGCGAAATTCCGTTCTTCAAAGGTACTAATTCCAACAAACGTAATACGTTTGTCTCCTTAGAGTTCTTATAATTTATTTGTCTATTTTTTATGGTTAAGAAAGCAGGTGAGTTACGATGGATCTACTGAGGTATGTTTACATGGAGATAGATAAGGGCACTCTAAAATGTTGAGGAAATGAACATATTAAAATTGTAGTATCGATCGAGGCTTTTCCATACCTAAAAATAAGAAGATCCTACATTGATTTCCATACCTTGATACGTCAAATCTTCAATATCACATTCCAGAGGCATTTCAATAAAATTTGCACAAAAAACGTTACTTAGAGCTTGTGTAATGTGGTTCGTATGATAAAAAATCAAGGGAGGGACTCGATTATTTCTAACTTTTTTGTATTATATACTCAGTGACATTAGAAGTGTTACACACAGAAAAAATAACTTCTTCAGGTTAATTTTTTGGCAATGAGGTAGTCTTACATTAAGAATGAAACGATAATATTCTCACGGAGTTTTATTGACAAGTAATAAGAAAAAAAAATTAATAATATGTTGGGCGACCCCGCAGCTGAATACACTTCTGTATACATCCACGCATCGACAAAATAAAATGATCTGGTTGCGGTACCTTCGCGCATACCTAGACATTCTGCCTTCCAATGTTGCCGTTTTCTGCTGCAGTTCACACGTTGATAGCAGGTTCGGATGCGGCGATAAAGTGTAAGTAACATGTCTAACTTCCTCTCCAAACCATTGGTCAGGGATCTGATGCATAGTAGCAAAACGGTCTCGTAGAGCTAGTTGTCTGAAGCGCCTATCTTGACATCCTGTAGTACGCCTCGGTGGACCAGTTTTTCTTTCTTCTTCTATCCGCACACGACACACACGCATTACCGTCATTGCAATACAATTAACACGGCGGCCAATTTTGCTATAGGACAATCTCAATAGGCAATAATTCTACCCCTGACAAAATCGCCAACAGGGACGTCCTAGAACTCGAGGGATTTTGTCATGCTTAACAATAGTAACTGAAAGGCCAGTTGCTAAAAATATCTATACTACTCAGCTCTCAGAAACTGCTTTGTCCACAAAGACTAAGAAATAACATTTTAACAAAGGTAAGCATAAACAAAAATAAAACGTTGACAATGTTGCCACATTCAGGTATTCTATACATAACCTAGGCAATGTATAGAATACCTGGGTTGCCCAGTTAATAAATGAAATATTATGAATATTATTATCCATTACATGCTGTACCTAGGTAATGAATACAATTCCTAGGGATTGTATAGAGTACCTACTGGTCCACCGGTAATATGTAAAATAAATAGATCTTAGTCAAAATTTATCAATGTTAATCGACGTAACTATAAAATGACGGGCAATTGAAACAAGTTATCAACTTCGTTAAAACTAACAATCACAGTGCTCCCTAAAAATAAGAATTATGAAAAAGGTACAAAAAGGTACCTTTCTGTTACTGCAGTAAAATCACAGTAAGATTAATGTGAAACTAAAAATTGTTCCGGCTGTAAGGTAATATAATGTAGTTTTCTTTGCTTACAAGTGCGCAACACGTTTATTGCCTGCCTGCCGGTATGTACAAGTGCCTTGGTCTCGTCTTTTACATACATTACCGACTGCGCATTCGGTATTGTATATAATACCTAGGTAAAGTATAAAACAAATAATACTTCATACATTACCTACACGTTTTAGGTATTCTATACATTACCTAGGTATTGTATAGAATACCGGAGTATACAGATTTCCAGTGGCATAGTCATCATGTTGCCAAAGAAACAAGTTGAAGAAATTTTTATGGGCGTAGCATACCAACATCAACGCTTTTTAAGCTGAATATTGAGATGTTTGCGTATGTAGAAAATACGTGTAGTCAATGAATGGTGCTTATTTTTGTTTGAACATTTTTATTTATTTAAATATCTGATTTCCAGCAGTTAATGTGAAAGAGACTCAACATTTCAAACGTTACAAACTTGATTCCATCAGCATTCTACAAAATAGTGCATAGATTAGAATCTAAGATATTTGGGGATACCCTGCATCGTATAGGTACTGAGTTTATTATATTGACTCCGCACCTATATATTCAGTGCATTTGCATGTCAAATGCTGCTCCCCATTTTAACAGACCTCATGTTGTCGTACGGCATTAGCCTGAGGAATTAAATCATGGAAAGGGACTACCGGAGAAAGTAAATAGGGTGCGTAACATTAATTTTGCAGGTTTATTTATATCACCTATTGTTCTTTTTTTTTGCGAAACGATAATGAATTAAGAGTTACATCGCGTTGCGCCCAATAAAATATAAAGAAATACAATAGTAAAACCGGCCCTGGAACTTTGAGCTCGCAAAACATATTTAATTGAATTCCAAGCACTACTTTGTAAAATAGTTACTGAATCGTGTTTGTAGTAGTGTTTTGTAGCATAAGCTGATAGAAATGAGATATTTGAATGAATGAATATTAGTCAAATCATATCAGTCGAAATACTTGTAAAGAATGAGAAAACATGGTTTTTGGAATTCAATCGAAAGTTTCGGCTGGAACGAAGAAACTTCAGATAAGATTTTTAGATATTTATGAGACTTACATAACGAGACTACACGTGAAGAGGACCGACTAATAACAAAAGAGCTACGGCCAAAAATCGAGGCCAGCTGCAGGTTTTGGCACTTGTTGGTAATGCGACGATGGCTTCTCGCAGATATTTGAAATTCTTCAAATTCGTAGGATTTGTACTTCTAAATAACCACAACAAAATTTAAGTGTATTGGTCAATTTCTAATTGCTTACCTCAAAATACCTGTGTTCTGGCCGTCACTACTAGTTTATTGAGCAATATACGGGGTTGGTTTAAATGGAATTTTATAGCAAAATACTCTAGTTTACCTTGCCGATATAAATCGTAAATGATTCCGTAATATAAACGTTATTTTTATGCAAAAGAGGATGGGTTACGTTTTTTCTTCTAAAAATTTCATATTTGTGAGTAATTCGCAACAAAAGATGATAGACACATCCGCTTTGTTTTAAAATCTGTAAAATGTGTATAGTATCATACGTTTTTCGAATATCGTAACCCATTTGTTCAATTACTAATTATTAATATAATAATATTAATTATTTAATTAAAATTTTGTCATTCATACAGGCAATGTAAACAGGTGTATTTGAATGAACCCTGTATACTGCTCAACAAATTAGTAGTGATGGCCGGGAAACAGGTGTATTGGGATGAACAATTAGAAATTATCGAAAAAGTACATGACCAATATAATCCAATTTTGTTGTTGTTATTAAAAGGTATGAATCCTATGGATTTAAAGAATTTCAAGTAGTTGCGTGAAATTATCGTCGTATTACCAAGTGCCAAAACTTGCATTTTCCCTCGTCTTTCAGCCATAACATCTTTGCTATTAATCGGATCTTTTTACGTGTAGTCTCATTTTGTAGGTATCATAAATACCTAAGAACCTTGTATAAAAAAGTTTTTTCGTTCCTGTCAACACTTGAATCTCAAAAAACTAGCTTTCTCATTCTTTGTTGTCAAATAAATAGTTTTCCCTCAGAAATTGGTGTACCCGTCAGATGCGTTTATGTTTTAAATATCCCCTTGAACAACTTGCAACAATAAAACCGGACTTTTCGCGGAAATTTTCTAATATGACTGGACTATATGTCTAATTGAAGAACCAAAAGAGCAGCAATCAATTAATTTTGCTGATTATTAAGCCCCATTTGTTTACTTTTTTGTGCAGATTTAAATATATCAATACTCAGTTTGGAAGGCGTTGACTTTGATAACATACAAAACAGTTAAACAATAACCGTCCGGCCTGACTTTTTTAGTCGTCCGAATTTTTCGTAACTCGTGGTGAAAATTCCATCGAAGTCAATTAAATAGTGTATATGTATGAGATATTGAATGTTTGGCGAGCTAAGATGAAGCTCCCTTTATTTATTTATTTATTTATTTATTTCCAACAGGTGAAACCCAATTACAGGAAATGCTGAAAAAAAAAATTACAATTGAAGAGACTTGGACTCTAATCTATAGTATCACACATTCGAAATAAGATTGGATGATCTATAGCAGTTGATAATCGATGCACAACTGTCACTGTAAATATCACACGATTCAGCAACACTGTTCATGACTCAGCAAATGAGATTAATTGGCGATCTTGTGATAACATTTGTACGGCCAGCTTGACAATAGACTGCCGTTTGTTGTCGACTCCCTAGCCTTGGAACGCGGAAACATATTTTTTCAAGTAAATTTTGACAGTCAATTTTATTGTGAATGAGGCCATACAAAAACGACAAAGCAAATATGTTTCGTCTTGTTGGCAGTGAATCCAAATTGAAAAACTCTAATAGGGCACTATGGTCACAACCTCTGGATAAGAACCTGTGCATTTAAGGTGAAAATACTTTAAAGCTTTACGCTGAATGGCCTCAAGGATCACGACAGAATTTTGGTAAATAGGAGACCAGATCAGAGTTGCATACTCCAACTTGCTCCTCATAAAGTTAAAAAATAAAGTCATTAATGTATCAACATTGGAGAAACCCTTCCAGTTTCTGATACAGAAACCAAGTAGTCGAGTGGCAGCCGACGAGATATTGAGTATATGCTCAGTAAACGTTAGCTTGATATCAAAAGTGACTCCAAGGTCGCTATAAGAGGTGCCTCTTTCTATAACCTGACCATTGATGTTATAATTATCATAAATTAAATAGTTAACCTTTCTTGTATAAGTCATAACTTTACATTTCGAAACATTCAGACTGAGACAGTTTCGTGAACATCATGACGAAATTAGAGCTAAGTCATCTTGCAATATGACGCAATCCTCCACTGTCTTGACTGACGTGCAGATTTTAAGGTCATCAGCGAAAAATAAATGGAAACACTTCAGTTCAAAAGAGAATTCATTAATAAATATCAAAAACAATAATGGACCTAGATTTGACCCTTGAGGTACCCCGGACGTGGCCCGATAGTAACTCGACCTATGACCACCATATTCGACAAATAACCTTCTATCCCTCAAATATGAATTCATGAGCGACAGCATTGCATCAGACATACCCACTGTTTTAAGCTTGTCCAGAATTGCATAAGGATCAACTTGATCAAACGCCTTCTGTCGATGACATCAACTTGTCCCTGACCGTCCAGTACTTCAGAAATGTACTGAGTAATTAGAGCCAAGTTGGTGACCGTAGATCTGCCTCTCATAAACCCATGCTGATTAATAGAGACTGCACCCCTGACCGAGCAGTAAACCGTTTCATAAGCGATGATCTCAAACAAATTGCTGAAATTGCACAGGATTGCTATTTGGCGTATCAGAGATATCTCCATTTTTGTGACTAGAATATATTTTAGAGGTCTTCCAGATATTTGGATATGTCTCTGAATTTAGAGTTAGGTTGAATATGGAAGCCAGCGGTTTCGCTAGTATATGAATGCAATCTTTAACGAAAAAACTTGGAATACCATCACATCCAGACATCATTTTGTTCTTTAATCTTTTCGAAGCGCTATTTACGTTTTCTTCACTTATATTTTTTTAAGAAATGATATCGGTAGAATTATTTGTTGGAGGAGGTGCCCCTAGTAGACCCGACGGGATAAAAACTGTTGAAAAGAAGGTAGCAAAACTGTCCACTATATCCTGAGGTGCATCGCAGACATTGCCGTTAAGCGTCATCCTTGGGGGATTCTAGATTGCTGTTTTTTGATCTGGGCAAATGACCAGAAATTGCTAGGGTCATTGACAATGGCATCCTCAACCGATTGGCCGTAATCGGAGTAGGCAACACTGATCTGGTTCTTAATGAGCTTCCTAAAATTACTGAACTGATCATAAGAAAACTTAGTACCGTCACGTTTCCAGTCCCTTCTTGCTATGTCCTTCTTCTTGATATTAACTGTAATTTCACGTTTGAACCATGGGGATACGAAAACATTTTATTTTTATATTTAGGGACATGGATCTCAAAGATGTTATTGATAAATGAATACAAGGCGGTACAAGCGACATCAACATTAACTTCACTGATCACCTCCGTCCAATTAACATCTTGCAAGGCTGTGTACATTTCAGGAAAGTTAGCCTTGCGAAAGTTAAACCGTGGAGAATTAGCAAATGGGAATTTCGTTGGAGATCCGGATGTAATGAATTCCATGATCGGTGCACGTCATCTTTAACAGAAGGTGTGTTATCTCTGAGGACTTCTATTTCGATATTTCCTAAAATTAAATCCAGTATTCGACCATTAATTGAGACTTCTGATCATTAACGTCACTGTTGAATGATGCGACATTAAAGTCACCAGCGACAATTATTTTACAATTACTGAATGCATTGTTAAATACATCCAAAGCTTCAAGGTACTGACCAAACATGTCCAAATTAATTGAAGGAGGCATATAAATAGAAAAGATAACAAAATGCTCATGGTTAATAATAAGCCTAATACATACAGTATCAATCGACGGAAAGTTTCGACTCAAGGCACTAGCGTCAATTCTAATTGCATAGAAATCGCGTTTTATGGCTCCTCCGCCGGAAACTAGACCAGATCGAATAAAGTCACGATCACATCTGAACACACAGTATTCAGCCGGAAATAATTCACTATCACTCACATTCACAGACAGTCACGTCTCAGTCAAGCAAATTAAATCAAATTCGTAGTCACTGACTGCATTGAAGAATGACACCGTCTCAGAATTGAGACCAGGAACGTTCTGGTAGGAGCACCTTAGCTTAAGTCTCTCATGACAATTTGGTCTGTTATTGGGTTCAGTTATGCTTTTAAAGTAACAATCTTCGGAACCCCATTGAAATATTGAATTCTGCATATTACTACTTATACTTACCTTTAGATTTGTACTTATAGCTAGGCAGACAAGCTTATTCTCTACTCCACACGTTGGCCTAAATTTCACCATCTTCTTTGAAGATTGCTTAAGCTAATTTTTGTGAATAATATTTCCAAAGACATACCGTGGCTCAATATCAGATTCCTAAGCAGCTTCAGATACTCTAAGTCGTGCTTCCCAGAAATGGAGTACTCATTCTCCACTTGAAAGGCAATGATCGGACCTCCTCTGGTGAACTGCAGTGCAGCTAGGATTGGCATCAAAACATTAAAAAACCTTGTGACGTATTTCATATACGTAGGATTTGAGGTCCGGACTTCAATATCACTTTCTCTCAACAGCCAGCTGGGCAGGCCTCCAAACTCGAATTCGGCGCAGATGAAGGGTCCTGAGCGAGCTATGACGAAGAGGTCTTCTTCTTGAGCCACCTTCATGAACTCCTGGAGATGAAGAAAGTCGGACATGTCGTTGCGTCCATCGCCGAAGTCATAATGGCCTGCAACATTGCAAATATGGATTTTATAGTAGAGCAGATCAGAGCTGTTCCCAGAAAGGCATTAATTTGTATACTATATACTATATAGCTTTGCTATAAAATATGACTTCCTTTGCAAACCAGCTGGCCACCAGTATGGTGATTAATCTGGATGTTAGTCAGAACTTGCAGAAATAAGCGAATAATTTAATAAGGGAATACAAGCCCCTTCCCATTTCAGTTGGCCCAACTATTGAAATCTTAGTTTTTTTCGTATCAAACATAAATAATAAAAATGTAGCAAGGTGCTATGGGTTTAAAATACTAACGATGAATATTTTGATAATATATACTAGGAAACACCAACTTTATCACTGCCTCATCAAATTTGCAGCATAAAAATAACACATGTTGTAATTACAGCATATCAACCTATTTTCATTTCAATGCAAAATAAGTCTATAACGCATAGGTGGCTGTGAAAAATAAAAGCCATAGCAACTGTTTTTACTAATCACAGCTGTCAGAATACGTCTAAAATATTTTTGGGTAGTTAAGGTTTTCAAAATGGGTAGAGGAAAGGTTATTAGTGAGAAAATTCGGTTACTGATAATTAATTTTTTTAATTCTGGGAAATCAAACTCAGAAATTGCAAAATTGTTAGACTTATCGCAGTACAGTGTGAGAAATATTGTTAGAAGATATAACGTATCTGGTTCAGTTAATATTAAGCCACGATATGTGAAAAAAGTAATATCACAAATGCCGACCGGAGAGCATTAAGAAGAATAATCGTGAAAAACAGGCGTGCCAATTATTTACAATTAAGTGCTCTGTGGAGTGACGCTGTTGGAAGGAGAATTTCGAGGTCCACAACTCATAGAGAGGCCCACAAACTTGGATTTAGCACTTGCAACGTAAACTTTCTTATACAAAAAAGTGAATTAAAAACCCTAAAGTTGCACAACTTGTTAATAGGCCAAAGAAAAGCCACTATTAACTCCTCTGCAAGGAAAAATCGGCTTAGATGGGCTAAAGAACATAGACAATGGACACCTCGACAATGGTGTGCAATACAATGGAGTGACGAGGCCCGATTCGAAGTTTGTGTTGGTGACAGTCGCAGTAGAGTTATTCGCAAAAAAAAATTAAGCATTGCATGTTGACTGTCTGAAGAGAAACGAGAAATTTCCAGCATCCATTATGGTCTGGGGTAGTATGTCATCAAAGGGAGTAGAAAAACTTCATTTTATTGATGGAAATTTGGATACAAACAAATATTCGGCAATTTTAGAAGAATCGCTTTTACCAGTGATGGAAGAATGTTTGACATCCGGCCAAGACTTTGTGTTTCAGCAAGATGGTGCAGCGTACCATACCTCAAAAAGGGCTATACAATGGATGGAAGAAAATAATGTACCACTTTTGAAATGGGTTTCTATCAGTCCAGATCTGTCACCTACTGAAACTTTGTGGCACGAGATGAAAAAGGTTCTACGACCACATCCGCTGAGACAAAAGCTTCAAGAAATATGGGATTGTTTTACACCAAATTTTTGCCAAAACTAGGTTAACACTATGCCCCAAAGAATTTCAGCCGTAATAAAAAATAAAGGTGATGTTACTCAATGGTAATCTTTCAATTGTTGCTTTGTTAACTTCGCGCATTTATTCGCACATTGTTTATTTGTTCAGATGTTATGTTATTAGTTATAGGTCTAAGTGATTTCAAATATATATTTTTTACGACTAGAGTGTATCCAAAATGTTTGTGAGAAAATAAATTGTTTTAGAAGTAAATAGTTTCGTCATGTTTAGTTTATAAAGGCATATTTTGGTACAAATCTTAAGTATGCCAACTGAAGTGGGAAGGAGCTCGTATACTCGCTACCGGACTATATACAGGGTGACCCATCCATTTTCGGACGGAATATTACCCATAAACAAATACATTTTGGAAAAATCTATTCATGGCATGTTATAAGCTAAATTCTGCCGAAAAATGTCCACATTACTCTGCACTGAAACTTTACAATGCTTTACCTCAACATCTTCAATCCATTTCAGCATTCACTATATTCAAAAAAAGCATTCATAAATATATATGCAATACGGAACCATAGTATTGAAGAGTTCTGTGGTCTAGTGAAACCGTAAGCATTAATATCGCTGTTGTTATATGTTCTCTATAAATGTTTGTTTTTGTATGTACTTTAAAAAAAATTGTGTGTCACAATGACGTGTTATCTCTTGTTATAAATTTCTTTGTTTTTTGTTTATGACTGAGAAACCAATAAATTTCTATTCTATTCTATTCTGTTCTATACGTGACATTTGAGGGCACATTTCTAAAATATTGGCAATTTTACAGAGCGTCGTGTCACAATTTTGAATTGAAGATTTGAAGTTGTGATTTTTTAAATGGAATGCCTTAAGTTTTATTGTATATTTGAATAAACCAATTCAAAAGAAGAAGATTGACATAACATACTATAGGGTTTTGGTAATTTGCTACTGAGATGTAAGTTGTTTGGTCCAGAAAAACCGTCCACTTCGGCCACCCCTCAATCGGTCATTTTGAAATTTGGAGAGCTGAGTTTTGTTAAAAAAAACCTACATACCTCAGCTTTTTTCTCATTTATTACTTTTTCGAATTTTCATTTTTGCTCATACACGGTGGACAAAAACGCAAATTGTACTTTTTCTCAAAAATTTCATATGCATCACCCTGTATATTTGTGCAAGTTGGGATTAAATTTTTTTGTATAAGGTTTGTTTCAGATGTTTCAGACTTCGAGTTATTAAGCTTTTGATAGAACAATACACCAAAATTAAGAAACAAATCACATCATTCATGGAAACAAGTGGGCTAGTTCCATATTGGCACTAAGAGTACAGATTTGACCTATAAATAATAACAAGCGTAATAGAGAAAAACAACTATAACAACAACATAAACAAACAACTATCACTACTCAAGACCTAATTCACAAAAGCTGCCCGAAAATATCTCCGCCATGTTGAATACACAGCCGTAGTCTTTGGATAAATGACCGTTGTACATCCCTCAGCATGTGTTCCCTTATGTGCAGAAAAGCATCCTCAATCCTTTCCTCTTGCTTAACGTAGCCGATAGAAAAAGGTCCATCGGTGTCATATCTGGTGATCTAGGAGGCCAATATATAGGCCCATCACGACCGATTCAACGATTGTTACTCTAGGTGTCCAAAAAGTTACGCACACGATTATGATAATGCGCAGGTGCGCCGTCATGTTGGAAGTACATATGCTTCCGAGTTTGCAGGTTGACATCCTCCAAACGCAAAGGCAAATGCTCGAAGTATTCTGTACCTGTTAATCTGTTGTCGAAAAAGAAAGGCCCGATAACTTGTCTGCCAATAGAGTTTTTTCGTTGCATAATAGTGCATGTTATGCCTGTTGACAACACCTATGCTGTTAAAAGTTGCCTCATCGCTAAAAAGAACCTTATCCAGGAAAGAAGTCAGTATTATTATACTAAACTCCATTCGAACTGCGAGATCTTGAGGATGAAGGCGTTGATATGGATGGTAACTATGCTTGTGAATAATCCTTTGGACAGAAGTTCTGCATATATCAGTTTCTGCTCCAATTTGCCGTGCACATAAATGGGGATTTTCCTGCAACTTTAATAGAACCTCCAACTGATTCGCCTCATTGGTGACACTTGGATCATTTATACATTTTTTACTACATTCGACTGATTGAAAACGGCCTCGTAGTTTGCAAAATGTTTCCTGCCTTGGATGTCGCATATTAGGCCACCGTTGCTTAAAAATGCGAGGTGCTAGGAAACTATTTCTTTGGGCTTCGCCCAAAACGAACACCATATTCACCATTTCTTCTTTATAAAAATTCATTTTCAAACACGTTTTTATTATAATGCTCACAAAGCTAATTTTGATAGTTTGTAACTAATAAACAATTTATTTGTTTCCAAGGATGATGCGATATTTTAGGGAATTAAGGCGTTCCATAAAAGACGTGGTAGTAACCGAAATAATGTCATAAAAACCTTGATGCGTCAGGTATCAAAAAAAGCTTATAAAAAATGGAATCTAAACTTGCAGAAATATACAGGGTGATGCATTTGAAGTGTTTGAGAAAAACTACAATTTGCGTTTTTGACCACCCTGTATGAGCAAAAAATAAAATTTTAAAAAATAGCAAATAAAATAAAAGCCAAGGTGTGTAAGTTTCTTTTGATACAAAATTCAGCACTCTAATTCTCAAAATGGCGGACTGAGGAGTTGCCGAAGTGGGGGTTTTTATAGACAAAACACCTTATATATCAGTACCTAATTACTAAAACTCCATAGTATGTTATATCAATTTTCTTCTTTTGAATTGGTTTATTAAAATGTGCAATAAAATTTGAGGCATGCCATTTGAAAAATAACAACTTTGATATGTAGGTCGAAACTGGGACACCCTGCATAATGGCCAATATTTTAGAAATGCGCCCTCAAGTGTAATGTATAACACCCCTAAACAGATTTTCCCAAAATGTATTTGCTTATGAGTAATATGCCGTCCACACATGGGCCACCCTGTATAGTGCATATTGAGATGTGCTCACTCTGTAACCGTTATTCGATCTGAATTATCAATAATAAATATAAACTCTTTCACAAAAGTCGTCCGTCCTATATTTTAATAGTCTGGTAGTATATTTGAGCGTAGTCGCATGCTTTTTTTGATGGCCCAGTCATTTTATTTGTTTATAACATTAGATGCGGTGATGGCCTCCCGGAATGCTTTTGAAAACGCGAAAAACTGGGGAAAATGATAATTTATAACTCAATGAACGAAACCTCTCTTCAGAAAGGACAACACAAATAGCCCATCTGATACAGCTGATAGATATGCTTGTTGGGCAGCATATAGAGTAATAATTTTCTAATTTAGACTTCAAGCACATGCACGCAAGTTAGTATCCAGATGCGATCTTGCTATTCTGCTACTGAACCAATTTTCTTTCTGTCAAATCTTCTCAGGAATATGATCTTCAGACTATCCCGATATTCTGCAACCAACATGCTGGCGAATTGCCTTCAGCACAGGTAGACGCTGCTGGTGACGCTCACAGATAGTTAGTCGACATTTTGTGGGTTTTTTGACATTACATAGAATTAGGATTGGACAGGGAGGTAACGTGTAGGCAGTAGGTGTCAGCTAAGAACAGATTTTGCTGTAAGGGTGAATTAGCAGTTAAAAGACAGGTGCAGGTTTATTTTAAATTCGTTCGGAGTTTTCCGCTAGATATAAAAAAAAATGTCAATAATGAGATTGCTTGGATTCAAAACTAAGAATGTATTTTGTGACAGGAGCAAGCTAAACGGCATCAGAGCTGTCAGAATATTATACTCATTAATCTCTTTCAGCTAGAGATGCAAAATATGCCAAGGAGGTAGCTATTACGAGGGATGTCCATTAAGTTTTGCATGTAGAAACATAATAGGTCGCGCGGATCGAACGTCAGTACTGAATCTTAACCTCACTCTTTAGTAAACTTAAATTCAAAGTTTCACAACAATATGTGCAGTGTTCTCACTACAGTGAATTATTAAGTGTCACCAAGCCGTTAGAAAAATGTAACTCAACAGAGAACATTTTCGCGCCATAATTTATTACAACTTTCAGAGACAATTATCGCGATAAGAATGCCTTACTGAGTTACTGTCTGTTTTCGGCAACGGAGCGCCACATCAGTCGACAATTTCCCGTTGGTATGGAGAATTCAAACGTGGACAAGTGAGTCTTAGCGATGATTCCTGGGTGGGTGCACCAAAAACGGCAATCACCAAGGAAAACGTCGATGCTGTGGGTAAACTCATCATTGAAGATAGACATGTGACATATCGCGAGATTGAGGCGTCCTTGAAGGTCTCAAAGACCTCAATTCAAAAAAAATTACGTGAAGAATTAGGAGTAAAAAAATTAGTTTCTCGTTGGATACTCCACCTGTTGACTGAAGAGCAGAAAGCAGTCAGGGTTAATTGGTGTCAAAAAACGCTTCACCGTTTCAATTCCGGAAACTCAAAAAATTTGTACAGCATTGTTAGTGGTGACGAATCGTGCATTTACTGTTACGAACCAGAAAATAAACGACAGTCGGCTGTTTGGGCGTGCCAAGTTGAAGAAAAGCCAACAAAAGTCTTCCGTTCTCGAAGTGTTTCGGAAAGGATGGTCGCGACATTTGTGTCAAAATCGGGTCTCATATTGCAACAATTCCTATGAGTGAGCAAAAAACTGTTACTGCGGGTTGGTATACCACCATTTGTTTGCTAAAAGTCATCACCGAGCGTCGAAAAATCAACCCCGAAAGAAGAATCATCCTCCACCAAGACAGTGCAAGCTCGCAAACAGCCAAAAGAACAAGGCAGTATTTAACGGAAGAAAACGTGGAATTATTGGACCGTCCTCCATATAGTCCCGATCTAAGTCGTAACGATTTCTTTACTTTTCCGAAAATTAAAAACAGACTGCGTGGTCAAAGGTTCCAGTCACTTCGAAAATTTGTTCTTATTAGTTCCACGGTTTTACCCGTAAAATGTTCTGGTGCCATGTGTATACTAACTGCTTTTTCGTGAAAATTAAACTTTGTTTTGAGCCAAAACGAAGGAGAGAAAAATAAACTAAATTTCTATATAAATGTAGATATATTGACAAACTAGCTCAAGCATGTAAGTTTGATGCCAATCTACTAATGTAGTGTGAGCCATCAGTCGGTTTCTTTAAGTTGGTATTTTTTGACAGTTGGTAACACTTCCATGCTCAACATTTGGGCAGATATATTGTGTCAAACTGCCGCTGTGAGCAATAGATCGTTTTAATCTTTAACAAATGTGAGAAATACAGAACAACTATTTTCAAAGTCTGCTGTGTTGCAGGAACTTTGCGAAAATTGAGAAGACCATTTGGTCGGAATGAAGCTCCGTTTGCGACTGGTATACGAAAATTCGTGGAGAAGGTTCGAGAAACTGGCCTGCTTGTGGATAAAAGAAGGTATGAGCGTGTTCAACCCGTACGTACAGCCGAAAACATTGCTGCCGTTGCTCAGAGTGTGCGTGGAAATCCAAGAATGTCAACTCGTCACAGAGCACAATAAGTGGGCATTAGTCGCACTTCTGTGCGGAGAATATTGCATAACGACCTGGGATTATTTCCTTACAAGGTGCAACTTGTGCAAGAGTTGAAAACCAATGCATCCAAAAAGAGTAACTATAGTATTTGCTGTGGCTTTTGGAGTGGTGGGATTATTGTACCCTATTTTTTTCAAGATGAAGATGGTAGAAGCGTGGCGGTAAACATGGAACGCTATAGAGACATGTCGAGAGGTATTTTGTGGCCACTATTAGACGACATGCACTTTCACAATTTCTGGTTCCAGCAGGATGGCGTAACATGCCACATCAGCTGTGAAACAATCGATCTTTTGCACACTAAGTTCGGTCATCGCGTTATCAGCCTTTTTGAAGACGTTAATTGGCCAGCCCGCAGCTGTGATTACTTCCAATGGGGTACTGTAAAGGACCGCTGTTACACTAACGATCCTCAAACAATTGATGTTCTTGAGGAAAATATCCTCCGAGCTATTGATCAAATAGACCTACAAAATATTGAAAATTTGCTTCAAAATTGGATCAAGAGGATAGCTAGCCGCGGCAGCCATTTAACTGAAATTCTTTTTCATAAATAATCGGAAGGTGTATCCTTTTGAATAAAGTATTGAGTGTTACATATTATTGAAGAGTGTAGTTTCACTACCAATTTAAAAAAGAAACCAACGGATGGCTCACCCTATACTATCGAAGTTACAGTACGCTTTTGGAAGTTACAGCAATGCTTTTGTATTATTAACATTAAGTACAAAGTCGCGATTAACTGTAGCAAATAATACCATTTAGAATCATTCTGTACCTGATCTTGGTTCATGCAAATTCCATGGCACATACGTCTCAACGGTGTTCAATCCCGCAGCTCTCATTTTTCTCAACCTGTCTCTCCAATACTGCCTCGGCACTCTGAAATAGTGAAACGCCCCGCTGTAGATGAACACCTCCTTTCCATTGAGTTTGAACCTTGACCCATCAGCGCTTAGACCACTACGAATTCCACCCTGTGTGAAGTACTGATAGTTGGTTGGCAGGTCAACCACAGCATTGCTAAAGTTGGTTGGTAATAGCTTTGATAAAGTGAATCCAGCAGCGCCTATTGGCGCTGTGGCGTTTAGTACACCCGTATCAATAATTGTCATTGTACAAACTGGCGATTGCTACTGAAGACTATTTATTGTATTTTGGTATCTCAATGAGGATGTATCCAGTACTTCAAAATCGTTACGTCAGTAAACACTTGTGGTATTTTTTAAATCAGATAAGCAGAGTACCAATTTACGTATGTTGACTTTGCATAGATGCTGTATCTCATCGTGCCACGATTCTGGTTTACTGTATAGATACATAAGCAATGTGGAATTTACTTTGACGTAATTGGAATAAATACATGGTTACAGTGTGTACTTGATGGTTATTTATGAAATATTATGAATATTGTGCTTCTGTGTAATTTGATCTTGCAAAACGTCTTACTCAAGCGGCAAAGTTATACTTTGCGCCCTTCATATCTACTACTTAGATGTTTACCTGAAGATAGGTATGTTTTTTCTCTCTAATTGGAAATTACTATGAAAAGGGTAGTTTCTCATATATGGCCAAATACGTATATGTGATACACTAATCTTTTCAAAGTAGATTTCTAATTTGTGAGAGAGGAAGAATGGCTGTGAAAATTCTCTTAGATACAGCTATGAATAATTTATTGGACATAGAAGTATGGTATTAGGGTGGATTTCTTCAGGAGGAATACATTAACCAACGGTGTAAATAAAAATAAAAATATATTTCTTAAACACAAGCTCTTATTTAGCTATAGACAATCGAACTAAAAGATCGAACTTAATGTTTCCAATTCGAAATACACTACCGTGCAAAAGTATAAGGACGCCATCGAAGAAATCAATTTTTTGAGTTTGTGATTGGTTTTTCTTGTCTTAAGCATCATTTTGTGATCGAATATATTATATAAACTATGTAGAAAACAGACTATTTTGTCATTATTTATGTTTATTATATCGAAATATCTCATAAAGATGCTTAAAAATAACGAAGAGAGCATGACAAGTCAAATTAGGTTTTTTTCATCAATGTGTCCACCTCGTGCTTTGCGCATATTCTTGGAAGCCTTCTGGCCAATTTTTGAAGTGTTTCAGTTGCGATATTCTCCCAAGCCACTTCTAGACTGTCGAACAATTGTTTTTCACTGGTCATGTGCCATGTTCTTCACCTGCCGGCCAAGCTCATTCCATAATAATTCGATCCGGTTTACGTCAGGGGATTGCAGCGGCTAATCCATGATTTTGAGCACACCTTCCTCTTCCTTGGACCATACATAGTTCATGGGGGTCTGCTTGGGATCATTGCCTTGTTGAAAGATAAATCCGTTGTCGATCAAACCAATGCCGGATGGAATGGTACTTCGTTGAAGAATATTGTGATAGTGTTCCTTCCGCATTATTCCTTCAACTTCGACCAAAATAACCCTTTTCTCACAGGCGACGTTTGACAGTATCCACCGAAATTGGGTTAATTAGGGTTTTATTGATTTCGGCACGAACGTCTGGTGCTCTCTTGAACCGATTTTGTTAGCTCATCAATAAAATGTGTCTATCATCAGCTTGGGTTGTTTTTTTTGTCAGCCCACTGGCGTTTTCGATTAAAATTTGAGTTGGTTTTAGCAAACCGCTTCAATGTGGTTTCCACTCCACACTTCGAAACACTAACAATATTTGCAAATTCACGAATTGTTTTGTTTTACCCACTTTTCTCAAAATAAGTATTTGTGAACGTTTTCAAGTGAAATTTCCTTTTTTGTTTTAGCCATTTTCAGCAGATATAGTCGATTTTGCGCGTGTAAACAATGACGGGAATGAAATTGACAATTCTAGTACTCACAGAACACAGCAGAGGACGCAAAGAGCTCTTATTTTGTTAGGCACGCACTTAAACGATTCAGAGTGACTGTTTAAGATACTAGCGTCAATACTTGAATACTGCAGAATAAAATAATAGTTATTATATTTGACATTACAGCGTAAATATGAAATAAGAATTTTTGGTTCCTTCATAATTTCATCATTTTGACTAATAATTATTAGCAAATTTAATGCAAATGGATATAAATCATAACAATATAATCTGTTTTCCAATTTATATACAAGATTCAATAATAAGACACAATAAAAACCAGGCAAAAGATTAAAAAATAGATTCTTTTGATGATATTCCTATACTTTTGCATGGTTTTATACTTCTCTACCTTTAACTGTTTTATAACTTTTATTTGAGAGATTGAGACAAGGGAGCTCCATTATCGTTTAAAGCTTAAGAAGTATAAAATGACATACTTCCAGTTGGAGGAACTTTTTCTGAATTTGTTATTCATCTAACGACAGCAAGATGAAAACTTTGTTTCAAAAATTTTTGTCCACATGACCCTCGTACTCTATACAAGGACCAAATAAGACCTGGCCTTGAGTATCGCTCACATGTATGGGGTGCTGCTGTCCCGACTACATTATCCATGCTCGGTGCAAAATAACGTTTAACCATTATGTTTATTTCTTAGCTTAGAGTACTGATGACGAGGAATAACTAGTTTAGTTCAGCTATAAATCATATATAGGGTGACGTGAAAATAGATGCGGAGCCGGTGGAGGGAGATAGTACAAGCTAATATGAGTCGATTTTACTATAGGAACTATTGTCCGAAAATTAGCCGTTTTCAAATTATACTAATTTTTAAGATTTTATAAAATTAACGTCCTTTATACGTTAACCAAGTCATAAAACTTGAAAATTGGGTGCTTCATTTGATTTTTTTTTGTTTTACAATAAACATATTCTAAAGTACGAAAATTAATACTCAAATGTACATTATTGACGTTATCTCATGCAGTAAGCTTCAAAATAGTTCGATTTATGTTAAAAAAATCTTCGTTTCTTATCAAAAGCTCCAGTTTACTAGAAAAAGTCGCATACAAATTTTTCGTACAAATTAATTAGAAAACATCTACGTTTCACAACCTTTCAAATGAGGTATAAAAATCACAAATCGATTAAGAATTGGCAAAAATATGACTATTATAAAAGGAGGAAGGAAAAAGCAATAAAAATACTACACTTACAAAATCATACCTCAATACAGGATAATTTGTTTGAAACTACATTTTTTTATTTTTATAATATATTTTCAATATGGCGCCCTCTATTTCTAATGCACATACGTGCTCTTCTTATGACAGCTAATTTTACCACCGCCGAATTCCTAAGAGAGGCTTGAATTTCTTGTGCTGCATGTATTATCCTGTTTCTGAGGTCTTCTATTGTGGGTACAGGATTTTGATCAGAGTATACTAAAGTTTTCATGCGATCCCACACAAAAAAGTCCATAGGTGTGAGATTGGGACTGCGTGCTGGCCATGGGATTGGTCTGCCTCTACGATCCATCGATTCGGAAACTGCTCATTTAACCAATTTCTAACACTGAAATGTGCTGAAAAATCATTCTGTAGTGTAGCGACACGTCTTCAAGTAATTCAAATAGAACATTTCTTGAGAAATTTTCGTAGCATTCTCCATTTAAGTTGTCGGGCAGGAAATGTGGTGCTACCAAACCGTTATCTATAATGCCCATCCAAACATTCAGACAAAATCGCCTTTGAGATCCTTTTGGTCTCTTCATATGAGGATTTCCTACTGCACGTTCACGCCAATAGTGAGCATTATGGTAGCTTGTTATGCCGTCTTTATCAAATTTTGATTCGTCGGTCCATAGCATTTTTTCTTAAATAATTGCTATCTTCAAAATTAGCGTTTAAATAAAACGACAAAATTGCATGCGCTTCATTTGATCTCCTTCCTCTATGACGGGGACAGGTGTGTAGTGGTAAGGGTGGAATATGTTTTCATGCAAAACATACCACACTTGCCACACAAGCCGTCGAGCCACAGCGCGAGTAGAGAGAGTAGGGTCTCTTTCGAACATATTTAATATTTCTTCTTCCACATCATGTCGAGGTCTACCTGCATCACCTGAAATAAAATGAAAAAACAAATAACAACAGTTTTTTGAAAGAAATTGTCACCTAATAGACATAGCGGTAAGACCATGAGCTAGAGTTGGCAAAATATTATTTAGAAAAAACGATACACAACGTATGGATGTTTCCATCTTCAGAGCCGTGTAGATGCTCGTGTTAAAATTAAATGAATAGACTCTTAATTAAGAAGTTCAATCAACTGTATCAAAACAACTATGTTACAGTATCATCAGTTCAGCCCACAGACCTCCAAGGCTCTACATAGGCCTTACTGAATGACTGATTATGATAAGTTAATAGTTATCATTGATGCAAACTTACCTTGATACCCTGGTATCGCGCTCTCGAACCCGACGGAACGTTTGCCTAAATACGAGGGCGTCAGGTAGGCGACGATTAGGAAACATTTCTCCATACTCACGACGAGCTTCTTCAGCATTGCCTCTGGCATCCCCATAGTAGAAAAGGATATAGGCATATTCTTCGAAACTAAACGGCCGCCTCGTTTGTTCATCAGACATTGTTCACCGATAGGTAGGTCAACAAACAATCAAGTCACACAGCCTCCAAGTCGTAAGGAATCACAGAAAATAGGGTACAGTCTAGGTCGTCAGGAAAAGAAGTACACACGGAAGTCCAACAAGAGCCAAGTCGTTAGAAATATCAAAACAGCGAGCAAACAAACACATCCGAACGCAACAAATCGCAAGAGAAGATTAAAGTGTGGGAGGGAGGGGATGACTAGTCTTACTTATCACACTATTCCGGTGGCAAAGTCCGATCTTCGCGGCTCTACCTGTTTCTTTCACTCATATGTTTGTCATTTCTAAATCGGTTTGTGAATTTGATACCTCATTTGAAAGGTAATGAAACGTAGATATCTCAAAATTGTTTTGCATGAAACATTTGTAGGTGATTGTTTCTAGTAAATTGAGTTTTCGAGATGAACGAAGATTTTTTTTAACAAAAATTGAACTATTTTGAAGCTTACAGCATGAGATAACGTCACTAATGCACATTTGAGTATAGATTTTCATATTTTACAATATTTTTATTGTAAAAACGAAAAAAATCAAATGAAACACCCAATTTTCAAGCTTTATGACTTGGTTAACGTATAAACGACGTTAATTTTATGAAATCTTAAAAATTAGTATAAATCGAAAACGGCTAATTTTCGGACAGTTGTTCATATAGTAAAATCGACTCAGATTGGTTTGTACTATCTCCCCCCATCGGCTCCGCATCTATTTTCCCGTCACCCTGTATAAACGGGATACATGCTTATACGTATCCTTATTTAGTCAATGAAACAAATTAAAGCATATACATAATTCAGTGGACTATTTGATGTTAAATAGCCAAGATATATGTCTTATAGATTAACATTTATCAACTCCATGTGTTTACGAAATTTTATTACAGAGTAGCCATGACTGCCTTCTGGCTCCCTCATTACATAAGCTCAATCTCATAATATTGCATCGTCATATTAGACGTCCATCATACTGAATTTAGAATGACATCGTTTTATTTAAGTGTATTATATTATTATTATATTATAATAGTTCGTAGTGTAGAAATCGTAGATCGCCATTTTGTAACAGACGCCATATTGGATTTAGAATGACGTCAGTTTGCTTATAGTTTCCCACCAAGAAAACCTTTCATTTATTATTAATATCATGGGGGTGACTATGGAAATTATAGATCGCCGTTTTGAGGTGGACGCTATATTGGATTTAGACTGACGTCAGCTATCTTATTGCGTCACTCTTTTCAAGCCCTTTAATTTAATACCCATGTCTTGGGAGTCACTATGGAATTTATGAATCGCCATTTTGTGACAACCTCCATATTGGATTCAAAGAGGCGGCATTTAAATAACTGTATATTGTGATAAGAAACAAGCGTGTATATTAATTATGATTCCTGCTCAATTGACTTAAAATTCAGTTTCAAGATTTGTCCCACAACATACCAAGAAACCTACAAGCAGGTTAAGTTAACGTAAAGCTTGTAATGAATGTAATATAGAGCTATGGTCTTGTAGTAACAGATATGTGATAAACACTTGATTTACAAAAGATCACGGAACTCAACCTTAGGAAAAATAGGATTCGAAAAGGCAGCTTGTTTAAGATTCCTTAGTGAACAGAATGATTCTGCGAATTACAGATATATAAAAAAAGCGAGATTCCCACCCATCTCAAAGATCCTACAGAAATAAACAAATATTTTCGTTCTGTTTTCAACAATAACATTCATCCGTGTTCAGAAAACGTCTCTTTCTGTGAAAATAATTATTTTTTAGCCGTAAATTCAGTTTCTGCCCAATAAATTATTCAGATTTACGCTCAATATTTTATACATTAAAATCCAATGCATTTGGAACTGACGTAGTACAACTTGAATTGCTTAATTTATGTTTTCCCCTAACTTCAATTCATACCATATCACAAATAAATGCTCATAGAAAAGTATATTTCTTAAAGCATGGAAAAGCTCTCTTGTTTTACCCTTGTCCAAAGTAGGTAATTCTAGGTCGTATACTGACTTGAGGCCTATTAGCATTTTGCCTATACTTTACAAACTATTGAAAAAGGCAATGTATACACAAATAAATATACATGTTTTGAAATGTTACTACCATCTAGACAATCTGGTTTTAGGAAGGGTTATAATACTGCTGCAGCATTGTTAGATCTAGCTGACAATATTGTCAGGGATTGGGATAACCATCAAACTACTTCCTTGATTCTTTTAGATTTTTCTAAAGCGTTAGACACCATCAACCACTCACTCTTGGTAGCCAAATGTAAATTTTATGGTTTCTCAGAATCATCAGTTGCTCTAATAAACAGCTCTTTAAAGAATAGATCACAAAGAGTTGTCATCGATATGAAGACTTCTCCTGAGGCTTTAATTTTTTCGGGAGTGCCTCAAGGGTCGGTTCTTGGGCCACTTCCTTTTATTTCATATATCTCCGATGTTGATAAGGCTATTGAACACTGCAATGTTCAGTTTATTGCAGATGACTCGCAGTTATATAATAATTGCTGAGGCTCAAACTAATGAAGACCTGAGGTCTATCGACAAGTACGCAAAAATTCATAATCTTAAATTAAATTCACTCCTAAAAAATTTAGAAATCAAATTAAGAAATATTCGACAATATAAATAAATAGTCAAATTATAAAAGTATGTGAAACTGTAAAAAATCTAGGCATATCTCTTGATGAATGTCTGAATTTTATCCCTCATGTGAACAATGTTACAAAAAGTTGTTTATTAATACTTCGGCAATTATACTTGAACAAACAAATTCTCGACTACAAAACTAAAAAAGTTCTCTGTGAGTCATTAATTATTTGAAAAATTACATACTGCGACATTGTTTATCATCCGTTTTTAGATTCAGTATCTGTGAGGCGCTTACAAAAAATTCAAAATTCATGATGCAGATTAATCTGTAACTTGAAAAAAATATGACCACCTTACCTACTCGTTCATAAAATTGGAATGGTTATCTATTCGTAATCTATTTAAATTGCATTTACTATTTTATATTCTCAAGCTTCAGTTCCCCCATTTTTGAAAGATAATTTAAAATTTCGTGGATCTATGCACTCACGAGATATTCGCTTTATTGATACAATAACAATTGCTCCTCACAAAACTGCAGTTTTTACTAAATCTTTCAACTATAATGCTACTATCATCCCTCTGATACTAAAGCTTTAAATTTCAAGAATTTCAAAAATTATTTAGGAAAAATAATTTACGAGCAACCATTTACATGAATTTATCTCTTACTTCTGCTTATGATATATGCATCAATATGTATGTATAATGTTATACTTTTATCCAATCTTGACTTAACTTTAGGCTTTAGTGGTTGATATATATTTTTTTGGATGGACATCTTACGGGTTAAGTGGTAGCATAGCTTATGCTAAACGTCGCCCAATAAAGACGTTTTATTATTATTATTACTTGATACTGAATCATACTTCTCACCTTATCGAAAAATTTGGCTGTTTAGGGTGTTAGTCGAGTTCCGTACTGAACAAGGTCTGCGTAATCATTCAGTTTACGTTTTCATGTGGTTCAAGATACTTTATTATGCTAATTACTCATCTTATAACTTGTATTGTTGTCATACAGGTACAAAAAGATGCGCTTGCTGAATAATATCTTTGTCTTTCCAGGTGAATGGGACCTGGGCGCTACCTGGTTTCGTATGTGACTTCTACATCGCAATGGATGTCACCTGCTCGACATCGTCCATATTTAACCTTGTTGCCATCTCAATTGATAGGTGAGTACTGACACAGATTATCTTTTATAAATAACCTTTGTACATCAACGGATAATAACAAACACTTTGGCTGATTTTCAAATACGAGTCAAACCCTTCTAGATTTCCTTTATCGGCAAAGGTTGACGTATGCGATCTTTCTGTAATCAGAAACTGGTGAATAAATTGATCTTATTCATTTCGATGATTCGGAGGACATGAGAAAACTCCGTTCTCCCTTATTTGTCGGCAGAGATCGGTGTGTTACTCTATAGATCCACGTTCTATTAATTATTCACTATTGGGAAAGACAGAATGTGAGTCCGGAGAACCCAACGAATTCGAGTAGTTTAGAAGGTGTCAAGAAAGCCTCGACATATATCAAAAATCTGTTTTCGAGGCAACCTTAACAAAAAATTATTTCCATAAATACAGGTTGTTTCCTAGTTTCGTGCCATGGCAAACATGTCTTTTAATAGAATACTCTATACTCGTATATACATACATATACAGAGTGGCCCATCGATGTGTGGACGGAATATTATTCATAAACAAATACATTTAGGGAAAATATATTTATGACATGTTGTTATCCATGACATTTGAGAGCATATTTCTAAAGTATTAGCCATTATACAGGGTGTCCCAATTTTGACCTATACTCTAGGCGCTGAAGAAAGAAACTAAACCCAAACAAATACACGCATATTGCTCGTGAGTGAGTGTTTAGGCGCAAGAGACATTACAGGACCGCATCAAGATATTATGGGTAATCATCAAAAATTTCATACAAGATAATTATTATCTTTTACAGTAAATTTCAGTTAGAGATTCACAAATGAGTTAACTACACTTTTTAGTTATTAGTAAGTAAGCTGCGCGCACTCATTCAGAAGAGGAACTTGAATCTTCTGAATCGTTTAAATGAATTATTAGAGGTTCAATTTGGGTATCGATGACATTGTCCAAATCCCACATTTTGACCTCAACCTTCTCCCGAACGTGGCGGATACAGTTTTTCCATGCCTCTGCCGTAACTCTATTGACTGCGATGTGAAAGAGATTTTTAACATCAGAAAATTTATAAGTATTATTATTCGACGCCACGTATTGCTTTATGTTGGCCCAAATCAGCTCAATAGGGTTCAGCTCACAATGGTAGGGTGGCAGTCTCAAGACAGTTTTATTTTGTTTTTTGGCCATTTCGTCGATCATTTTAAAATCGTATTTGTATTTATGTCTATTGACTATACTTATCAATTCACCCTTGACCATTGTTTCATCAAAATCGATCTGTTTTGAGGCCAGCCATTGTTGTATGTTTGCTTTTTTAGTTGCCATTGTGGGAATTTTTCCTATTTTTCTAGAATGGTACGGGGCATTATCCAGTACAATAACAGCGTTATTCTCCAGCTTTAGTAACATTTTGGAGAACCAATTTTCAAAGGAATTGCCGTCCATCTCCTCATGATAGTCCCCTGTCTTTTTTGATTCAAAGGCCCACAGTGCTTCGGGAACAAAGCCGTCTTCACTACCTACGTGACAAATGATCAGCCGTTTGCTTTTCCTGGAAATAAATTATTCCTTACACTATGGATTGAAAGCCGAAAGACCGTCTAGAAAAGCCTGCCTTGATGATGTTACTGATTTGTCGACCCAAACTTTCGCTTGAGTAGGTCCAGCATTCACCCACGTTTCGTCCAAATAGTAAATTTTTCTTTTTTCATCGCGAAACTTCCGAATCTTCCTAAGGTATTCCCTTCTCCACACAACAATTTCTTCTTTCTCTATTAACATATTGTTTCTTCCCAGTTTCAAGAATCGAAAATTAAGTTCCTTCAAAAGTTTTCGGAATGTGGTTCTTTTAAATGATGGAAGATCCTCATCAGCATTAACTAACCTTAATATCTTATCTACTGTAAATTATGCACTTTCCTCCTGATGGCAGTTCTGTCAAAGTCATCTACTCCGTCCGTTATCCTTTTTCTTGCAGGATACGGTTTTGGCTCAGAAAGTGAGTGAGTGCTCCTATATTCCTCAATGATCCTATAAACACTGGACCGACATACTCCAGAAATATGTGCTACCTTACATATAACTTCGTCCACGACCAAATCGGGTTTTTCTTGAATTTGGTTTTTGTATATATTTAATATTATTTGTTTTTCATTTGCACTTAAATGTAGCTTTTTAGCCCTTTTTTTGGGTGGGGTTGCGCTGATGTCAACCACTTCGTCGGCTGTATCTGTGTCAGACATCGTATCTTAGGCAATATATAAACAAAACGTTCCACTCGCGAAAAACGAGTATACGCTACTGAATGCGTAATGCGTATGCAATGCAATCCTGTGCGTGAATTAACTGTTAGATGCCTGTCGTGTCATCTACAATCACGTTTACAAGTCCAAACCTGTGCAGATTCGTAGAGCGCCGACGACTGCTAGTGACCTTGAATTTGTCTGTAGATCGATGTTACTCCAGTCAATTTAGGTTCAAAGTGGATGTTTTCTAAACCAATTTGTTGTTCCTACATCAAAAATATATCGATGATGTTTTGTACTGGGAGCTCATGAAAGATCAAGGTAACTTATTTTAACAGTCATCCTTTTTCTAGTCTCAAGATGACACGAAAAAGGGTCTGTGGATTCACTAGAAATACACTGCCGAGGATGTTTAGACCTAAAGTGACTGGAGTATATCCGTGGATGCTTTCGAGGGATCTGTTCACGTGCTGATCACTGTTTACGTTTAATGTCTTTCTTCAGCGCCCAGAGTTTACATATCCAAGTTGTCATTTTTTAAAAGGAATGCCTCAAATTTCATTGAATATATGGATAAATCAATTCAAAAGAAGAAGATTGATATGACATACTATGGGGTTTTGGTAATTAGCTACTGAGATGTAAGGTGTTTTGTCCAGAAAAACCGTTCACTGCGGCAACCCCTCAATCCGCCATTTTGAAATATTTAGTGCTGAATTTTGTATAAAAAAAACTTACACACCTCAGCTTTTATATTATTTGTTACTCTTTCGAATTTTCATTTTTGCTCATACAGGGTGGTCAAAAACGTGAATTGTACTTTTTTCAAAAATTTCAAACAAATCACCCTGTATATCTGTGCAAGTTTGAATTCAATTTTTTATAAGCTTTTCTTGGTATAAGGTTTGATTCACATAAAATCACCAGATTTTGGGTTATTAAGCTTTTAATAGAACAACACACCAAAATTAAGGAAAAAAGAAATCACATCATCCATGGAAACAAAAGACAAACAGTGGGCTAATTCCATATTGCCGTTAACAGTACAGAGTTGACGTTAAAACTAATAACAATCAGGACAGTATAAATCAGCTTCAGGCGTAAAAGAGAAAAACAACTATAAGAGCAATATAAACAAACAACTACCACTAATCTACAAAAACTGCTCTAAAATATCTCCACCATGTTGAATACACAGCCGTAGTCTTTGGATAAATGACCGTTGCACATCCCTCAGCATGTGTTCTCTTATGTTCAGAAAAGCATCCTTATTCCTTATAGAAATAAATAGAAAGGTTTTTATTTTTTTACACAAAAATGGCGCATCAAAGGAAGACAATTCAAGTGAGGTCATTTGTTTTAAATTAAACGGGGAATTCAAAAATAATTTTTATTTGGCAAAGAACCATTGGCGTACTATTTTTTTCTTAATAAATATCGAAGTCAATACCCGTACGTACGCCACTGTTGAAGCAAAAAATTATTTTTGCATTGAGAAATATCCAACTTTATTAGCTCGCACTACATACTAAATGTCAGTGAAATATCTGAAGCGGTTCTGAAAATATTAATTAATTTCCATTTTTTCGTAAAACTTCAACACGCCGAGTTTTTGCAAGGAAAAATTTTTAGATCATAGTTTATGAAGCAAACTAACATTAATTTTTCATGTAGATTTACACCCATAAGGCCCGTATCGTCAGTCGTCCCTACAATTGTAGGGCGCGTTTATGGCCTCCTTGATTGTCATACTCTTTTCTGTCCTTCAAAAATTTCTAGATTACACTCGTCCCGTGTCAGCATCAGCGCTCTCCTATTGTTAAGATATGTTTTCCTTTTAAATTGTAGGAAATTTCAGGCTGATAAAATATGTTAAAACTCAAAAGCAAGCACAATTTGATGCAAATAGATGTTTGTGACATAACCTCAAAATAGAGCGCTGACACGGAGAAGTAGAAAACTATGACAATCAAGGAGGCCATAAACGCCCCCTACAATTGTAGGGACGACTGACGATATGGGCCTAAGTATTCGCATAACCTTAAGGAACACCCTGTATAGTCATTTCAAGTAGGTCAACCAACCTACATGAAACAACTAGATATTTTGAATTTGTCTAGTGCGTGACAATACCATTCGTTCAGTCATACTAGACAACACTACATCACACTCCACGCCAAACCGAGATAAGACTGCAAGGCACAATGGCATATCCCGTTAGCGTTATTCCACCTGGTCGGTAAACACAACCAACAATCCATTCCCATTGTGGAACGTTCCGGCGTGGGCACAGCCGACGTCAGGGTAATCAGACCCCGATAATTAGTGGAGAACTTATTGTTCAAACAGAATACATGGACGACTGTTAATCATTTGCGCATCTCTGTGTATCATGCTTTCTACTACCGTGCGAGATTTATTGCATTAGGTTGTTTATGACACTCGTGATTTGAGTGAACTTGACGAAAAAGCTATGTTGCGGTGTGTCGCTCTCAACCCCGCCTTTCTAGCGAAGTTGAGCTCCTAGAGTTCCATGGCATTCTGGGGATCAAAAATATTGGACTCCAGTCTGAGTGACAAAAAGAGGTAAGCAACTACGTATGTATGAATTCAAGAGTTTTTTTCATACCTATTTATCTTGCCATGAACAAGTGATAAAATGGTCAGGTTTTTCTCTTAAGTTTTTGTGGTGGCTGCGTGTATTGTTTGGTGATAGAGAAGCATTCAGTTTCTGTACATTTACCATGTCAGTTAAATGTT